TATGATCCATGAAGACTTGGACTTTCTCCCCATATAAGTAAGCCCGCCAAATCTTCAAAGCAAACACTACAGCCGCCATCTCTAAGTCATGTGTCGGGTAGTTCTGCTCATGTTTCCTCAACTGTTGTGATGCATAAGCAATCACATTTCCATATTGCATCAGAACACAGTCCAGTCTAGTCTTTGATGCATCCATATAAACAACATAAGGCTCATTGGGTTTTGGTAGACCCAGAATCGGAGTTCTCGTAAGCATGTCCTTAAGCTTAGAGAAACTTTTCTCACAGTCCGTTGACCAAGTAAACACAACATCCTTTCCACTCAGCCGAGTCATGGGTTGCGCCATGCTCGTGAATCCTTTAACAAATCTCCGATAGTAACCAGCCAAGCCGAGGAAACTCCTTATCTCGGATGCATTCTTAGGTCTCGACCATTCTGCTATAGCTTTAATCTTCTCCGGATCAACAGACACCCCTTTGTCCGAGACTACATGACCCAAGAAACCAATCTCTCTCTGCCAAAAACTGCACTTACTAAGCTTGGCGAATAGCTTATGCTCCTTTAGTCTAGCCATAACAGTGGCCATATGTTTTGTATGCTCCTCCGAGTTCTTAGAGTAAACCAGGATATCATCTATGAAGATGATCACGAACTCATCCAGACAGTCTCTGAACACGCTGTTCATCAGTTTCATGAATGCAGCCGGTGCATTAGTTAAGCCGAAGGGCATCACCACGAACATATAGTGCATGTACCTTGTCCGAAAGGCTGTCTTCCGAACATCCGTCTCAGCTATCGGAATTTGATGGTAACCCGAAGCCAAATCTATCTTGGAGAATACCGTAGCACCCCGGAGTTGGTTCAACAACTCGTCTATCCTCGGGAGAGGGTACTTGTTCTTCACTGTCACTCGGTTTAACCCACGGTAGTCTATGCAGAGTCTGAAACTACCATCTTTCTTCTTGACAAATAGGACCGGAGCTCCCCACGGTGAACTGCTAGGCCGAACAAACCCTTTTTCTGTCAGCTCATCCAACTGTTTCTTTAACTCAGCCATCTTGGCAGGAGCCATCAGATACGGTGCCTTAGGTATAAGAGTTGTCCCAGGCTCCAGCTCGATAGTGAATGGATAAGACCGGCCCGGAGGTAATCCACTCAACGCTTGGAACACATCTTCGAACTCACTTACAACCGGAATCTCACTAAGCTGCATATCCGGACCAACTTCCACAGTGTTGATCGTAGCCAAGTAAGCTTCACAGCCTTTCCCCATCAGCTTCTCTGCTTGAATTGCCGAGACAATCAAGCTGCCATCTGTTGATCGGATCCCCTGATACACCAGCTTTCCTTTATCCAATTCAAATTGAACTTTGCCTCGGTGACAGTCTAGATGTGTCTTATGCTTCCCAAGCCAATCAATTCCAAGGATCACATCATAAGACTTCACTCTGCAAATCACCAAGTCAGCCGGCATGTTCACCTCTCCGATCATCACAGAGACGACTCGGATATTCCCCAGGGTAAACATCACTTGACCACCGGCTGCTTGAACTAAACCAAAGTCATCACCGGGTTCCCTCAGGAACTCACCAGATCCAACCATATCCGGGTGAACAAAGCAATGCGATGCCCCGGAGTCAAACAATACATGGGTTGCCACCCCACCCATGATTAAGGTCCCTACACATTATCTGAATGCTAAGAACCTAGACTAGTAAGCAACAAGCACTTTTCACCGAGAAAAATACTAAGGTAAGGGACTAGAGCTTACCAGTGATCGGACGGGAAGTGCTTCCCTCGGCAGTGTCCTCTCCAATGGAGTATACCCGCAGCATTATAGCCTGCCTCTTTGCCTGCGGATACTGTCTGTCACTTGCACGTTTCCCGGCTTGCTGCTGCACTAGATTCGGGCACTTGTCCTTATAATGTCCGGTTTCCCCACAATTGAAACAAACCCTCTGATACAGTTCAGGGTAATCGTGGATCATGTGACTCTGACTACCGCAACGGTGACACGCACCTGAAGCTTTCCTACACTGACCTTCATGCAGTTTCCCGCAGGTCATACACGTTTTCCGTCCAGCCGAAGGCTTGCCCGAAGGTGCATTCTTTCCAAACTTCGGATTTTTAACAGCAACACTCGCAGTTTTAGCCGACGATGCATGACCCAGCAATCTTGCCTCCTTAGCCAATCCCGCCTCTTGCTCGGCTGCTTTCTCAACCAGCTCGGTCACAGTAGTATAGTCTCGGATCTTATAATGGTTGCTTAGCTCAACTCGCAAACCGCGCATAAACCTGCAGACTTGGTTCTCATCATCTTCCAAATCACAGCCACCATACCTCTTGAGTCGGTTAACTCAGCCTCATATTCCCTCACGGTCATAGATCTTTGCTGAATGTCTATAAAAGCACCTTCCAGTCAGATGAAAGCTTCACGTGGGGAGTACTTCTTTCCTGAACTCCGCACAAAAGTTTCCCCAATTAGTTACCCGGCCATCACGGCGAGTCACTACACCTTTCCACCAAACATGCCCATCCCCTTCCAAGTAGTGGACCGCAATATCCGTCTTATAGCCATCAGGACAACGGATGGAATCAAAGTTCCTTTCCAGCCGATTGATCCAATCATCCGCCTCCATAGGCTTAGCACCACCCGTGAAGAATTTAGTCCCCAGCTTCTGCATATGTTCCATCACCTTCAGATAAGATGGAACGCTCTGCGCAGCAACAACTTCCACTTCTTCCACAGTCGGTTCTTCATTCACCACCGGCAGTGGGTTCACTTGGGCAGGTGCAGCAGCCGGCAATCTCTGTAAGACTTGAGCCAGCATGCCTAACACCGCTTCCAATCCAATCGGAGCCGTAGCAGCAGCAGCCGCCATGTTCCCAATCCCAGTATTTCCCCCGGTTATCCCAGCATTAGCCGTAGCAACATTGTTTCCAGCCGTGTTCACTTCAGTATTCTCACGGTTATTCTCATCACCCTGACCATCAGCTCTGTTAACCGAGTTTTCCCCAGTCTCTCTCACAGTTCTCCTACCAGAACGCTGTCCCTTAGCCATCTGCAAGGTAAAATCTCATAACTAAGCTTGCCACAATCAACTTAGTTTTTCATAGAAAACAACTTACCGCAAGACATCAGGCTGGAAGGATGTTTCCCACTACCCCACTTATGCTAAAAGACTTGTCCTAGAACCGACCACGCTCTGATATCAAATTGAAATGCCCTAACCCGAAAATCCGAACTGCGGTAAGGATTTGACTCGGCCACTTCCTGGCCAGTTTTGGGTATTTTTAAATTTTTCCCATACTTAGTCATTTTCAGCGTTTTCATTCGATTCAGTCAAGCCATTTTAAACATAAATGCAATACTTAGATAAAAACGAGGTTCAAGCATACAATGAAGATTCGCTATAAGCTAATACAGTCTGCTATAAGCTATTGCATTGTTCTACTTGACCATTGTCTACCCAAGCCTAACATCCTTTCCTTCCTGCCTTAGTCCCACGGTCCAGAACAGTTTCCATCACGAGCTAAATCACATGCACCCATAAAAAGGAGGCATAAGCAACAGAATTGCTTAGTGAGAGCGGTCATCCCGTCCCACTTAGCCACAGTAAAGAAAATCACAATCAAACAGTCCATTCGATCATCCAATAATCACTTAAACATTCAATGATCGGCTAATAAGCCCTCATCTGGCCTTGGGCCTCACTTTTGGCATCGGGTCTTCTATGGTCATCGGACCTCATTCGGCTATAAAGCCTAACTTGGCCTCGGGCCTTCACTATTATGCAGAAAATCAGAATATAACAGTAAAGTGCCATAGAACAGTTCAAGCAATCAGTAAATAATCGAATCTATGCTAGATAATGAGTCTAAACTATAGCCCACGGTCATTCACTCACTTTTTTTTCTCGGCTGTTGCAGATTCAAGAAGATAGCCGACGGTTTTCAGAAAAACTCCCCGATTCAGAACGTTTCTCTCAGATGCAGTCGAATTCTCTCGGCGACAGTCGGAATCACCCGGCTATCTCACAATCGGATTCGGCGAACTCTCGGATATCTCTCGGACAATTCTCAGTCTCTCGGATGAAATCGCTCTCTGAAATTTCTCTCTGTTTTTCTTTCGGATACTTAGGCAAAATAATAAAGTTTCTGTGAATTCCCGAGTTATATGACGGTTCTCGGCAATAACCATTCACTAAGTCAATTTGCAGCGTTTTACTTCGAGAAACCAAGGATCAGTAACCGTTCCCGCACTTTTCCACTCGATCAATTAACTTAGCTGGACCAGATTGATGTTCCTGTCCCTTAACCGGTGATTTTGGCTTGGTTTACTGAAATAGTCGGCCTGATTGAAGTTTATCCGAGCAGTTCTCTCGGATATAATCTGTAACCGTTCTCGCCAATCTTATCCGCGCCCTTTCCAATAACTCTCTCGGATATAACCGCTCCCGCTCGGCTATTTTTATTATTTAGCGAATATTTCAATAATTCATCTAATAATTCACTAAGTCCTTCGATCATTCCAGCTCGGCTCCGACAAAAATAACCGTCCTGTCCGAATCTCGACCAAATGTCCGAGAAACACGGTTTGTCTGATACTGCCTTATCTGAATCCCATTTTCACTCGGACATAATTAGTTCAGCTCCATTCCAGCTCGGACTTCAGTAAACTGACATGTCGGAAATCCGACCAACTGTCCGAATTTTGCGGATTGTCGGATTTTCACTTGTCCGAACCATTTCTTCTCGGCTAAACACTCGAATCAGCTGAACTGACCCGATCCAGCTCGTTTTAGCTCGGCTATTCCTCTTTTCAACCGATAACTCAATCTTTACTCAGACAACCCCCTGGTTTTTCCTATTCATAGTCTTAATCCGACTCATTCAGTTTAATCCTAAGATTACGGATGTTACACGGGGCCCACAAGCCCGACGGAGAGATGGATGACTCGTCGGAATGGGCCGTGGGGGGCATTACAATTTTCTTTAAAAAAACGTTAAATCAGCAACATATTACTGGATAGATGAGGCATGAAACAGGATTCAATATTCACTTTAAAATATTAGTAACATTGATTATTTGTTCTTTCTCAACAATGGGAAGCAAAGCAGTACAAACTTGGAATAAAATGGAGAATAATAATGATCAAGAATTAGATTGACTTAATACGAATTATCCAGCTTTTGCTTCTTGACTCTTGTGGCAATCTCCATAAGCCTTAGTCTCGACTCTTGTGGCAGTCTCACAGGGCAACGCTAGGGAACTTGCAACGCTCATTTCCTGTAACAATTAAATATCCATTACAAAATTCAAAATTTACAATCATAGAGAAAACCCAAAACTGTAATAAAAGAGGGATCTCGTCTGCCTTTAGTTTTCTTGTGACATGAGTAATGAAAGAGGTTTTAAAAACTCACCTGGGTTGGTAGTGGTCTCACGCGCTAAGCCGTTGAAGTAGCATCGAGAGCTTTGGTTCCGGAACTCAGCCCAGAACGAGCTAAACGCATAGCTTGCGTGCCAAGTAACCGAAACTGGCGCGTAACACTCTCTCCCCGGCGCCAAAGCTGCACACGTGGCGTTGCTTCTCCCGCAAGCGATGTTTAGAGCCTGCCCTAACTCCGCCTCACTAGCCCCTTCGACCGCCACACACCAAACATTCCCCTTGAACGGAACATTGTTACTCGGTTTAGGCAACGAACCAAAACTAGAAACCGGTCTTGTACCACTGAAATCGATGTCGTAGATCTGGGTACCGTCAGGATTCAATATTCCCCAATGCCTCTCGGTTCCCGAACCGGGTTTCTGGTTTTCATTGAACAGTGAGAACAAAAACGTCGGTATAGGTGAACCACGTCTAGCTGGTGTACCGAGTGGCGGGTTAGCAGTCATCTTCCTAATCAGATTCCGGTTATATGTCGCGGCGTTGAGAACATTGGCTCCAGTTTCGTCGATATCGCCGGCATTAGGCCACCCGGTTTCGGAAATCGCGAGACGGATGTTGGGGTAACCTAGCTTGGTCATTGCGAAGATAACCGAATCGAGCATCTGGTCTAACAGATTGGTGTAAACCAAACCGGTTTGAGGGTCGGTATAAGTCGAATTCGATTCGAACAGAGCAAAATCCAAATGGTTGTTAACCGGATCAATGGACCAAGGGAAGTAAGGGTAAACATCGAGGAAGAAGAAAGAGTTTGTCCCGTTGAGAAACTTCAGCAACGGCAACATCACCGGACCGGAGATTTCTTCCCGGAATGTTCCCCTCGACGGAGGAAAACTCGACCGTAGAGCATCCATGGCGAGTGGTGTCCCGACTTTGATGTTGTGAATCCCTTTTGCTCTAAGAGAGTTCACGATTTTACGCATCGCAGGGACGAGACTCGACCAGATTTTCTTGTCTTGGTCGGAACTGTAGCTGAGGATTTCGTTTCCGACGAGGACGAATCTGATTTTGGTTTGCGGGTAATAAGGAATGACGTTTGTGTTGATCCAATTGTCTGCGGCGGCTTGATCGGCGCCGACTGAAATGATTTGGTCGTTAGGGACCATGATCGTCACATAGAGATTGGTTTGAGAGAGGATCTTTAGGGTTTCTGGATCGGCGTCGTAGAGCTTGACGTGACCTGCTTTAATGGATCTGATGAGGTTGATTGATTGGTAAGGAGAAGGGAGATTGTTGCCTAATTTTCCATAGTTGATCCCAATCCTGCTTGCGAGTGATAACAATGTTTTGTTGTTACCAATTGCATGGCAACATGAACCTGTGAAACAAGAAAAAGAGACAAGATTATGGTTAAGTGAAGTGTCTCTGATCATTGGATCATATGATATAAGTGTAAGGAGACTTACTTGAAAGGACAAGGAGAGTAAAGAGGAACAGAGCAAAAGAAGCCATTGGAGAAAAAATGTTGTTGAGAGGAGAGTGAGATGAATGAGAAGAGAGCTTGTTGAACGGGTATTTAAGAAGAGATTAAGGGATGGTGTGTTAAGGATTAAATATAATCACTCATGCAAGAAAAGCTTTTGATCAACTATTAATTGTTTCTTGAACTTGCACAGTTCTTTGGTGTTTCTCTTTTTCTTTCTTTGTTTTTAATTTGTGTTTTATTCAGCCTGAGAGATTAAAGAAGACTGGTTGGTTGGCTCGTTCCAAGGAGACCAAATATATCATTTTTAAAAAAAAAAAAGCAAAACAAAATTTCGATTTACAAGGTTAATGTTAGATTGGATTTGACTTAAGAAAATAATAATACTAATCAAAGTGTTTTTGGACTGGTTTTACCAAGTTTATATAAACTTAGGCTGGGTTAAAATAAAATTCTGAAAAGTAAGATGAAAAAGATATACAGTGAATTTTTTTTTGTCAAGTCTTTTCTTCTTCGTATAAATGTTGGTGTAACATAAGCCTATGGCACTAGGGTTTATAAAGAGATGGAGAGAGAGCATGCATGCTACCTAAATGAATTAGGATACTGTTAAGGAAAATTCACATGGGTTGATTGGTTGCTAACGAAATCATGTATGGATTGAATTGATAAAAATCATGGGAGTTGGAGTGTATTGCAAGTCTTGTTGGAGAACCTATTTTCCTCCACAGAGAAACTCTAACGATGACCAATTTTAAGGTGGCAAAGGTCTTTACGGCAGTGGAGATCTCTCAAGAGTGGAAGTGTCGTGTTCCCATCTCCCTCCCATTTACCTTTTCTCACTGTCAAAAGTGGAATGTACAGTGGATTTATTAGTGTATGTGTTTGTTTCTTGCTGTTTTTATGATGATTTTTGGAGGTTTCGTAGTATAATTAATCGAGAGAAGTACCAATATTCCTCAAACTTTTAGCTAGAAGAACTTTGGACCATGTGAGTTTAAATTGTGATATACTTTTAAATATGTAGTGTTTTGTCTTTTTTGATAAATTGAAATTCCCCAAAAGAAAACTTGGAGAGCCTGTCCTAAGTTTTGAGTTTTGCCTTTTTTTGGTAAATTGAAATTCCCCAAAAGAAAACTTGGAGAGCCTGTCCTAAGTTTTGTGGTGTAATGAACTCATGTAATTCAATGTAGGCGTTTTTAGCTCTGTCTTGTCCTCTCTTTCAAAGTATTTAGGAATATATTTTTATCATGTATATATAATGTTATATATTTTTCAAACATTTAAAATTAAAAAAAACATGAAATTTTAGAACCTGATCAAAAACAAGTGAATTAGAATTAATACTTATAACACTATGGTTTTTGTAAATCAATCTATTAAAAATGACGATTAGGAATGTTGCCAAGAAAGCTGCCGAGTCCATTAAGGCAAAATAATCAAGACGACAGAGGCAAAAGAAGCCTGGTTTCAGATTAAGAAGCCAAAGTTGGTGTTTCATCCCATAACGAATGACAAACATATGGTATGCGAGATAAAAGGTAATATAGAAGAATGAATGTTTAAAGAGAAATAAATTTGAGTTTCATTGAGTAACATAATGAGAAAGTTTGTAGTTGCATATAAAAGTGTTTAACTAAGAGTTTCTTTTACCATGAAAAAAAAACTAAATTATAAGAAACTTAAAATAAAATGAATAACAATATTTGTACAAATATATTTTTTTCGTAAGCCTGTAATCAAAGATCTATAATAGAACTAACCCACTATAAAATGGATTAAGTGGAATACATCGCTTTTTGACATAAAAATCAAAGACCATTAGAAGTTGGGTTTTCATCAGAACTAAACTTGTCATGACTATCTTGGCGTTTAAAGATTGTACTTTTTCTTGTTCAAAAACATCAACATAATTATGATGATCGAGAGATCACTTCGAGTACTTCTTACTTTACACTTATCTTGAGAGAAATTGTAAAACGTTGAACTCTACATGACTATTAAGATCAAAATTGTGAGTTTTTAAAAAGATTAACCGAATTGTAACCAACATCATCAAACGAGAGGTTTTTTAAAATGCATTCAACTTTAGTTTGAAAATGATTTTAATTTCAGACTTCAGTTTGGTTTTGTGAAACAGAGTTTGTCTTATTTTAATTGTTTTTTTTTTGTATTTATGCCATTGTTTTTCTGTAAGAAAAAGTGAATTAATATGATTTGCTATATAAGAATAAGTATGATTTCTATTTATGTAAATAGCACAAATCATTTCAGCTCATGTTGTTGTTGATTAATTATCTAAATTACCTCATGGTGAAGGTTTGACATGGTTCCTGGAAATTGCAGATTTAAAAAAACCTAACTAAACCAAGCATCTTCAAGAAAATTCATAACACAAAGTTCAAAATCGCCATTAGAAACCCTAACAAAGACATCTCGATTCGGAAGCATTCAAATCCAAGTCGAAGCGAATGGAAGCGTTCAATCAGAAGATAACGTTTCTCTTATGCTTTTTACCTTTTTCAATATGAGCTCTCTTTTTCTTACTAAAAGAGAAAAGGTTGATTTTATTTTTATTTTACTTTGAAAGAAACTATAAAACATTGAATTTTACATGACTATTAAGATCAAGATTGTCAGTTTTCAAAAAGATTCACCAAATTGTAACCAATATCACCAAACGAGTGATTTCTTAATAGGCATTCAACTTTAGTTTGAAAATGATTTTAATTTCAGACTTCAGTTTGTTTTTGTAAAACAGAGTTTGTCTTATTTTAATTGTTTATTTGTATTTATGTCATTGTTTTCCCGCAAGAAAGAAAAAGTGAGTTAATATGATTGGTATTTAGGTAAATAGCAAAAGTCTACAATCCGACGTTTATCCCCATCTACCAACCATCATTATTATATTCTAATTATATATATAATTAGCTAAATATTTTGTTTACATCAATATTTTTTTTTAATTTTTGTATAGACTTTGTTTAATTATATTCATTTTTGTACTTCTAATAATATTTATTTAGAAATAAAAAAATATTTATTTTATAAACTACAAAACTCTATCTTCTCTATAAAATTAAAAAGAATCAAAATGCTAATTTAAATAAAATAATAATAATAATAAAATGTAGAAAAGGAAATCGAATGCAAACAAAGTTGAAAGAATTTGAGAAAAAAAAACTCTAATTTCTACGGAAAAAATACAATTTTGAATAAAAAACAAAGAAAATGTGAAAATAGATATTGAAGACAACAAATATAAAAAAATTTGAAGAGAGTAGTTATCAAACTTAAAGAAAATTTAAACAAATATGAAATTTTTTTTTTATGAATTTCTGCTTTTGTGGACTTTCACATGATATTAATTTTTTATGAGTTTATTTTTATGCAGAATTATTTGTGAATCAATTTCATACTTTATTATTGTATTTATTTATATTATTGTGTTTACTTTTAGTCTATTTATATTACTTTTATTTGTATTTAAATTTTTATAACTATAAAAATTATTTTAATTTTGTATTATCCTAAATTATATAGATCTATTGTGAAGTCAAATACTTTTTATATAAACTAGGTTTTTAACTCACGCTACGGGCGAGTCTGTATTAATAATTTGGTTTAATTCTTTTTTGGTTAATATCTTTTAAATTATTAAAATTATAATATATTTATAGAAATTTTCTTTTATATAAAAAATGTAAAATATAATATGTAGTTTTTCCTATTTTTTGTTTATAAAATTATAAATCTTATTAAGTAAAATCATAATAATGACACCTAACGAATTATCTAATTTCGACAAGCATATATTTGATTTAGAGAAGAATTTCCATAATAAATTTTTGGTGTTTTGTTTTGTGTCTTTAGGATTTCTATAGTTTTTTTTTAAGATTTATGTGTTCAAATATTTAGTTTTTGATTAAATGTCTCACTGATATTGTGTAACTATGCATATATAATATATTATTCATGTTGAATCAGATTTCCTTTTGTTAGGATGCTACAATAATTGTATAAAGCTGCTTCTTGCTTCTCCACCAAATCTTCAACAAATTTTAGATCATATATCTATTCAATTTATAAGATTTGTTTTATATACAATTACTTATTTGATAAATTTTATTTTTAAACATATAAGATGGTGTGGAGTCTTCATATCATTTTTTAACGTTTTTATCTTTTGTGTGTTTTATTCATGTTTTGATTTGAATAGTTTCTCTTGATATTCCAATTTGAATTTGATTCATAACTTTGTTATATATTATTATTTAAATAAAATTTTAGAAGGTGTCACTATGTGCTGCACATGTTGGCTAAGTTATAAGTAGTAACTATGTAAATATAAATCAGATTTTATTATATGTTATATTTCGATTGTAAAGTTACTTATGCATTATTTTTCTTTGTTAGTTTTTAAATCAGACGCAGCCAAAGTATTAGTCTTTGTAAATTTAAATAATATATTTTAGAAACTCGTATAACCTATTGTTACTTTATATGGTTATTAAAAGTTAATACCAATATTTTAGAAATCATGAATTTTCTGGACCTAAATTTTAAACTAATTTTTTTTTTTTGTTATTTTACATATTTTCTATGGTAATTTTATATTATATTATATATATAATTTTTTACATGTTTGATATATTCAAAACATATATATTTTATAATTAGGCTATTTTGTTATCAGTTTTTCAATTAGGTTGCTTATATATCAATTTAATATTTTTTAAATAATTATTTTTCTTCGTTAAATTTATTTTTATAAATGCTGTTTTGACATGCTATAACTGATTATTTTAAATTTAAGTGGATTTCTCTCGAAAGTTTATACCATCATTGCATTTTAGTTAATATTTTTATGTTTATTTTTCAAAATATTAGCCTAAATACCAAGCTAATTTTATTTTATACGACATTTTCTTTTGATAATTTACCTCATTTGATATTAATATATATTTTATTTTAACACATAATTATTTTGAAAATATTGATATTTCTGAAGACATAATTTCATCTTTCGTTATTTTGTTAGCTAAATATTTTTACATTGATTTTTCAAGTCGTTAGTCATATCTGAAATCAATTTCATTTTTAAATAATTTTTTATATCTAACATTTTTTAAAGTTAATTTTCTTATATTTTTATTAATTATTTAATCAATATTGATTTATTAAATAATTAACTTAAATATTTATCTTCTTTTTGTTAGTTAAGTTTTTTAGTATGACTTAAGTTTTTTTTTATTCTCTTACTAATTTTGTTTATATTGACTTGTAAAATAAATAGTATAGATATCAAATTAATTTCATTTTTTTCTCTGTGTTCATTTAACTATTTTGATATAGATTTTTATTTTCTATTTTTTTGTTAGTTAAATGAATTTATATTGCTTTCTTCAATAATTAACATAAAGTATTATTTTTTGGTTTGTTAAGCTTTTGTATTAATTTTCTAAATAATTAGGCTCAATATCAAATTTTTGATGATTTTTTATTTTGTTAATTTAACATGAATGTTTTATTGTAGTATTGATAGTTTTAAATAACAATTTTATATGTTTAGCGTCAAAATTTAACCTTAGTATTTTTGCTAAATAAATTACTCGTTTAAAATATATATATTAATTTTCTTTTTTTTTAATTTAACTTTTTCATTATTGATTTACATATTTGTTTTTGTTAGTTTAGTTTTGTCACATTGTGTTTCCATTTTATTTTGACAAACGTTATAGATTTGAATTTTTGATATAACTTTATTTATATGTTTTATTAGTTAAACTTTTTTATCTTAATTTTCTAATTATACTACGATAATTTTTATATTTTTGTGTGTTTTAATTTATTTAAATTATTAATCATATTTAACATTTTTATATTTAATGAAAACATTTATATGAACCAATCATATTGAGTTTCTATGTTCTATGTGGACACTCTCATTGACATAACATATCAACACAAACCAAGACTAATATATTTTAAGTTATCAGTTCAGATTTTAATTGTTTGTCATGATTAAACGTTTGAAATAGTTAAATTATGGTCTTAAAATACAGGTTTTAATTATTTTATTTAATATATATGATTTTTCTTTAATAACTAGGTGTTTCTCCGCACAAGGTGCGGGGTTCAATTATTTTTTTTTAAAAGTATAACATTAGTTTATTTATAGATAAAAAATTAGATTTTATAATGATTCGAAACCAAATTTAATATATTTAAAAAAAATACAATTTTCACGAGTATATTATTTTTTTATGACAAAGCAAAATATATTATTTATATCTTATTTTCTAATATCTTTTATATTATCCGATAAAAACTTATATGTATGCTTTATTGTTTGGTTGCATTTATTGTTTTGTTGCATTTATCAAACATGATAAACAATTCTCTTTGTTCGATGTAATTTGGTAAATTAAAATTAATGATATTCAAAGTTTGCATAAAAAAACATAGCAATCTAAATTGACCAAAACCATAAAAGCCTTGTTTGATATCAACTCAATATTAATTAATATATATAGAGTTTGAAAAGGGTTTAAATGATTTAAGGTTTTACTTGTAGTTGTATAAATCAATTAGATTAGTCAAAAATATTAATAGGTTAAACAATCAAATTAAAATTAGTTTAATGAAATTTTCATGATTTATGTTTTTTTATTTATGCTAATTACATTTTTAGTAAATTGAATATTATTATTAAACTCGATTTTAGAAATCTAGATTTAAAAAAACGAAAATTAATTAAAAATTAGATTATATTATTTTGTTAATTTTTATTAAGGGTAATTAAAATAAATTCACATAAGGGGCAAAAAATAATCAATCATCATAACTCTCAACCACAGCTCAACTTGCTTACCAATTAATAATATGATCTATTTATATGCTAATTTATTTTTTATTGTTAATAGAAAAATATGATCTATTTTCTAAATTCTGTCTTATTAATAAGTAATTTAAAATTTAGAAATTTTCCTAATAACATCAAAAACGAAATTAATTAAAATTTAGAAATTTTCCTTTTAAAAAACAAAATTAATTAATTTTAATATATAATATATAATTAATTATAGATGATAATGATGTGTATCAATATAATTGAATCTTTTAATCCTATGTGGACATCCTTAGAGGCATTTAGCATCAATTTTTATTAGTAATAGATAAGATACAACTAAAAGAAAGAAAAAAATGGCAAACGCTTTTTTTTTTTGTTTAATAACAAACACTTTAACTTTGTTCATTTAGTTTTTTTTTTACATAATTGTTTTAATTTTAAAATTTACTTTTCATCATTGCAAAAACTACCCAACAGATTATGGAAAAACTTTCAAAATAAATATAGTATTGATATTTAATATGATACTAGGAGTTTGGCCCGCACTCATGTGCATGCATAAACACTTTTAAAATTTTAATTACATAAATATAATATTTAAATCATTATAAATATTTAATTTTTTGTAATATATAAAAAATTAGGTAGGGCGATTAAATTATAGGCCTTAATAGCAAAATATGGTATAATTTTAACTAAACATTTCATTATAACAAAATGCCCATTTTATTATATTAAATGGCCAAATGGGTCAGATCCGTGGATAGCTGGTTGAGCGGGTTACTTGCTGCGGATTTGCGGGTCAGGCGTACATACCTGCAAATTTCATCATCTTCTTTGTCTTCAATTAATCTTCCTCAATTTATCCAGTTATTTAGCCTCTAAATTCTCGAAGACTTCTTTGTATAAAACAAATATTTGAACTAAAATAAATTAAACACAGAAAATTATTTAAACTTAAATATATTACAACTTCTCTTTGTATATTTGTTTAGTTTCTGTTTCGTGTGGACAACAAAAACGGGCTCTTTAGTTAAACATTGTTAGATTTATGTTACTTTGGATTATATAGTCGGTGCATGTGATGAAGAAAATTTTTATAATTTTAATACAATTTGATGATACAATTAATGTTGTTTTGGATTATATTGCAGAAAGACACTGTTAAAAGTAGATAATCATACTTTGGTTAACAAAACATAGTATACTTTAATTTCTCTTTATATATTTGTTTAGGTTCTGTTTTGTGTGAACAACAAAAATGGATTCTTCAGTTAAACATTGTTAGGTTAATGTTACTTAGATTATATAGTTGGTGCATGTGATGAAGATATAATTTTTATACAATTTAACGTGTACAAATCTGTGCATGTAATAAAAAGATATAACATATGTTTTGTGCATGTGATAAAAAACGACGGTTTACAATTTATATTAATAATTAAATATTTTATATTTTTCAGTTTTCATAAAATAATTATTTGAACTAAAAAAAATTGAACACATAAATTTTTTGTTATCATGTGTGTTAGCAAATGTCATGTCACAAATACATCATCATTATATATCATCATTTTCATGTCATCTTTAATTAAGTTAGATTGATGTTTTTAACCAATAAAATTAAAACAAATCAGTATATTTTATTTAACTACATTGTCAATTAATAGGTAAAGATTCCACCGTGAAAAACCATATTAATATATATAATCGGAATTCTACATTATTATTGTGACTGTGAGAATTATCAACAATTCGTCTGTCTTAGCCCAATGGACCTGGTTTCCACACGAATCCACTCCATCATCCTTCTCTTCCTCGTCCTCTCCGCCGTCGTTGAAATCTCCGTCGCTGATGTTCCGGAGACGGAGCCGGTTCCTGCACCATGGCCGGAGCAGTTCCACGCATTGATGTTGATGAACAAATCTGGGTCTCTGGAGATTGTTGACCTCTGGTACGATTGGGTCAATGGACGTAATTTTAACATCATTCAGAAGCAGCTTGGTAAACTCACCTACGATCTTGAATGGAACAATGGCACTTCTTTCTACTATACCCTCGACGCTTCTAGAACTTGCCGTACCGTTCACTTCGAGGTCAGTGTCCTCTTCATTACCCATTTTCTAAGTGTGAATTGTGGATATGTAATGTAGATTATTAGGTCATATGTGTGCTGAGTTTTTGGTTTGTAAAGCGAGAGAAGTACCAAAATTCCTTAAATTTGAAGCAAGAAGAAGAATTTTTAGAGATGTGTCCTTAATTTTTGTGGTAACTTCATTTACTTCAATGTTTTGAGTTCTCTCGTTAGAAAATACAAACTCTTCCTTTTAAAAAATTCATTATTTTTGTTGCAAGAAATGTGAACTTTCTTCTGTAGCACTTAGCACTTGGGAGACTACACTTTTTAGATAATCTGATGGAAACCTAAAGTGTATGCTAGAATTTGAGGTGACCACTAAGCAATGGTGTCATATACAGTCGATTTTGTTGGTTTCAGAAACAGAACTGTTATATAGTAAAGTTGCTCAGATTAGTATTGATGGATTTTTTTTAAATCAATAACTTGATCAAGGTTGGAATCTTGAGACCAAATTGGCTAGATGGAGCGAACTATTTGGGTCAACGAAATGTGAGTGGGTTTCTCTGCAACGTATGGGAGAAGGTTGACTTCTTATGGTATTATGAAGATGTTGTCAGCAAAAGACCTGTACAATGGATCTTCTATACAGGTGAAGTGATGAATAACACTATATGACTTGTGAGTCATCTTCGACAATTTAAGATGATAATCTCTGTTATGTTAACTAGAATATTGAAAGATAATTGCAGGCAGGGAAGCTCATGTGATGACATTTGAAGTTGGAGCTGTTCTAGAAGACAAGAAATGGCAAGCTCCAGTCTATTGTTTCCACAACGAGAAGAAGAGCATTGAGTAGTGAAGCCACTGTGTAGAGTTTTGTGTAGAGTTTTGGGCACCTTTTCATCCAAATAAATATCAAACGTGAGGTCATTTTCGTCTTTGTCATGTAATAATATCTAGAGATTTTTGATAGTGGAGCATAAATAAAAGTAGATGTCAGCACAAATCACTATCTTCTTCGTATTTTACTTTCTTATTTGGTCCCTAAACGTATCTTACACGTACACATTTGCCCCAACTATTTAATGTGAAGATGTAGTTAGTATAGTAAACACAAATTAATGTAGCAATTACTAATGGCACCAGAGAAGTTAATTAAAAAGTTGATCCGACCACATTCATAAGAGAATCTAGATGACGTCATACATTAGCATAGATTATAAATTAAGACTCCCCAACTATATAAAAAGCACGAGAATCTTTTATATGGGTGTCAGAAAGGGTAGTTTGGTCTTTTCCATGATGCGTTGCAAATTCATTATCGTAAATTTGTAACACCGTGTAAAGAGAGGATAAAGTCAAGAGACCAATGCACATGTTAATTGGTTCCTAAAGATATTTTAGATAGACCAAAAAGTTTTTTAGCCTTTTTTTGGTTGGACCTTTTTGTCTTCTAATTACAGAATCAGATGTTCATTTGATTTGGTTTAGACATTTACAAGTAAACATCTCAATCTTTTATAGCTGTTATGCAATTACTTTTGTAATAACCATCATTTCCAAGCATATGGCAAAATAATATAAAAAATGTTTTGCACCGCACGTTGCATGATCACTGCCAAGTTGTTAGAAGAGAAAGTTATTCTCTGGTGTTTTGAACAAATGCAGGAAATTTTCAGACATTGGCAACTCATTTTACCACAGAAAACTCATTCATAATTTTATGAATGAAGATGTAATAGTCAATTATGAAAAAAAAATTGAACACGTACACGCTTTTGAAATTCATTTTAAACCAAATAAAAAATCATAAACCCCACTTTTTATTCTTCTTTTTTCAAAGATGAAATTTTATGGGAACATAGTAACATGCTTCTTTAATTCTTTACACTATTTTTCTTTCTTTTTTAAAAAATAAGTTGGATCTGACTTTTTGACATTCTTTTTCAGTTACCCATATGCTTCACCTAAAGTTTGTAGACTTGTAGCTGTTGTCTCCAAATCAATCTCCAGCCCGATCTATGCTCTCGTTTCCCAATAGTCTAACCACAAATATTTCCTAATAAGATCCTAGTCGTTTTAAACTCTCTAGTAAAATATAGTATAAATTGTTCCAAAAAAAAAAAATACATATACATCTATAGCTCTATAAGTATAAGATATCGTTATTACAACAATATTTGAAGCTAATTCAAAAGTGCTTTATTATATTAACGCTAATCAATATCCTAAATTCCTTTTACATCTTGCTGGCGGAATTCTCAATAGAACGTTCATTTTCAATAATAAACCCAAATAAATAAGTAGATAATATTTGTTAAACCAAAATAAAAGATGTGTGACTCGAGAGCTTATTAACAAAACAACCGCCCTAATATTATCCAAAATTTGAGCCATGAAAGGTGGCAACAAGTCTTTGGCTTTTATAGAGCTCCCACAATTAAACACAGCCTGTAAAACTCATTACATGATTGAGACGTTTACATTCTTTTAGTCATATCCGTTCCACGCGGCAAAATTTTGTTTTCTTTTCAAAAGAAGAAAAATTGTTAAAAAACAAAAAAAGTAATGCTAGTAGTTTTCAAATTTTTCTTTTTCTTTTCTCCAAAAAACAAGCTACGTAATACAATTTTCTCTTAAAAAAAAGAATGAACAAATGCAAAAGGCTCAAAGTGGGTCAGACGCAAATACAGCATATATGTGCTTACAATATATAAAATATTAATCATCATATCACAAAAAAAAAAGAAGAAAAAACTTAGTAAACATCGATTTTTTTAAGTCACCGACCATCATTTGAATCGAACGTGTTAGGAAAACCAGAAGGCTTTGGAGGAATACTAGACTGTGTCTGAGAGTAAGAAAAGTCTCCATGGAACATAGAAGACGTTCCTTCGTTTTGTTGCCATCTCTGTAGAGCTTGAGGTAAACTCATGTTGTTCACATCGATCCCGAAACTCTCTTCTTCTTCTTGGCACGACGGTTTCCACTTCTCCACTAGTGGGCCGAGCACGTTCACCGCGTGGCCCATGTCCGGTCTCTGTTGAGGGTCACGTGCCGTGCAGTGTCCCGCAAGCTCGACGACTCTGTGAATGCTCTCCAACGATTCCTCGTCTGACTCTAAGGTTTGGTCTAGCGCCTTTGGGATGTTCTCTTTGTTGATTAAGATTCTCCTGAACCACGTGACTAAATGAGATCTCTCGTCTGGTAATGAATCGTCTAACGCTTTTCTTCCCGTGATCATTTCCATAAGAACTACTCCAAATGCATACACATCCACTTTCGTCGTTACTCTTCCCGTAGCTGCAACCATTAATAATATAACATCAATATCTTATAATAACATCAATCAACTATCAAATGCAAAGGCGCATGAAATCAAACTTACCGGCGTATTCTGGTGCTAGATAACCGAATGTACCGGCTAATCTCGTCTCAACAGAGTATTTACCATCGGGTGCGTTCTTCACCAATCCGAAATCAGCAACCTTTGCTCTCATGTCGTCTCCGAGAAGGATGTTGGAGGGCTTTAAATCTCTGTGGATGAAGCTTTGCTGAGCCAAGCTATGGAGATACTCAACACCTCTTGCAACATCCAGAGCGATGCTCACTCTCTGTTTCCATGTTAAAGGAGAGTAACCGAGCTCACCATACTCAAACAAATGCTGTCCGAGATTCCCCTGTGGCATGTACTCATAGACAAGCAACCTCTCGTTCCCGTTCACGCAGTAACCCAACAGAGCAACCAGATGTCTATGCCTGACCTTGGTCAGCACAGCGATCTCGGCTTGAAACTCGCTCATTCCTTTGTTACCCATCGCTGAACATTCCATCCTCTTAACCGCGGTTTTCGTCCCGTCGTGCAATTCCCCGGCGTAGACAACGCCGAAACCGCCTCTTCCCAATATGTTATCCTCGCTGAAGTTATTCGTAACCTGACGAAGAACCTCCATCGGAATGGTGACGCTTCCACTTTCAAGAAGGAAACGATCACTGTTGTCGCCACTACTAGGACTGTTCAACGCGTTGAAGTTATTATTGCCTCCATGTCCATTAGCATATCCACCACCGTTACCATTAGACGCAGCATCACTAACCATAATCTTCCCTGCTTTCTCAGGATCCGTCCTTCTAAATTTCCCATACTTCTTCTTCATAACGAATTTGTAAACCACGAACACTAAAATAGCGAGGAAAACAAGAACCGCTACGATCACACCGATGATCACAGGAGCTTTACTTCCGCCATTTTTACCAGAAGACCCACCGGGACTACTATTGGTTTTAGAACCGGCTCCAGGAGTTGAAGAATCTCCGGCTTTAGTTCCCAGCAAAACGTTACCTGGCGAGTGAGTAAACTTCACCGACGGAGGAAAACTCGGTATATCTCCGGTGAGATTGTTGTTTGAGACATCGATTAACTGGAGGTTAGCCATAGAAGTCAACTCCTTGGGGATAACACCGGTTAAGTTGTTGTCGTTGAGGTAAATGCTCTTGAGAGAAGTGAGCTTTGCAATCTCCGGAGATATAAATCCGGCGAATCCATGTTTCCCGAGATTCAGCGTGACAACGTTCTTCCCACCTGAATCGCAGGTGACGTAAGCCCATCCGCCGCAAGCATCGTTTCCTTGCCAAGAATCAGCCAACATCGACGGATATCCCAAACCTCCGGCCACCGCTAAAAGCGTCATCACCTGAGGACTACAGGGATCTCCTGCTTTGGTAGTGCAGAAATTGTTGTGCTCGGCGGTTACTTTCTCAACCTCCGATGGAAAAGAAGGACGAGGGCCTTGAAACTTGTTGTTGTCCAGAGAAATGTTCTTGAGGCTTCCGAGTGGAAGTAGTGAAGGCGATACGATTCCGGTTAATTGATTATCCCGGAGCTGGAGATCGAAGAGATTCTCGCTTTTCGAGAGATCCGGGATCGGTCCGGCGAATTGATTCTTCTGGAGCCACGCTTGCGACAACGACGTCATACCGGAGAGCACTTCGATCGTCCCTGACAACCCCGATTCCTGATTGTTGATCCAGAGATTCTGAATCGAGGATTTCGCCAGCGAGGGAGGTAACGGGCCGGTGATGTTGTTGTAAGAGAGGCGGAGATTCTGGAGAGAAGCGAAGGAACCGAAAATGTCAGGCAAAACGCCGGAGATTGTGGTGTTGTCGAGGTAGATTGTGGTGAGAGAAGTCGAATCCGCGAGCTCCGAAGGGAAACTCCAAGCACTAATTTCCGGATTATCGCTCATACTCAAGATCTGGAGGCTGACGAGTCCGGCGAAAGCTCCGGTCTCAACTCCGTCGAAAAGATTTTCGTCCATATAGATCTCTTGCAGAGACGGGAGCTTAGCGAACGACGGGATTTTACCGGAGAGTTTGTTACGCTGGACAGCGATGGATTTGAGCTCGGAGAGAGTCGAGATCTCGGGTGCTAAACCGCCGGAGAGAGATAAACCTTCGAGGTTGATTGAAACGACGCGGCCGGAGGTGCATCTTACGCCGCTCCATTTGCAACAATCGGTGGAGGAGGTGGTTGACCAACCTGACGGCGTAGGACGAAACGATTTCGCCAAAGCGAGCATTGCCGCTCCATCGTCAGCGACTGATGCGGAGAGGAAAGAGACGGCTAAGAGGAGGAAGAGGAGGAGATGAGGCGTTGGAGCCTCCATCGCTAAGAAAACACGCGCGGCGCGTAGAGAGGAGGAATAAGGATGAAGAAGAAGAAGAGGGAAGACGAAGGTAGGGTTTGATAAAATTTTCAGTTGGCTTTGGGGGGAGCGAGAGAGAGAGAGAAGAGAGATGAAGAAATGGGAGCAAGCGCAGAGTGAGGTGTCATAACTCGCTATTCAACAGATCATTACTATTATAAACCTAATCATTATTATTCTGTTCCGTCCCGTTCCGTTACCCCTCCATTTTTTAAAATTATTTTGTAAAAACCAAAAACAGAAAATACGCGTTTTTGTAAGTATCTAATAAAATTTCCACATATTTTAGAATTTGTGTAAGTAGTTTATATAGAACGGATTCCGTTTGTAATAAAATTTGATGATACGGATGATAATAATAAAAAGGTATTAGTAAATGAGATAATTATTGAGGTAGGTGGTTGTAATAATGGAACTAATGGAATTCATAATTTGTGTTTGGTAGTTTGGTCGGTAATTAGCAAATTTGAAGCACAAATTAAGGAGGCAAATAATAGAGTTTATTTATGTGACCGAATGTCTCTTAATGGAGTCGAACCCGGAACCCATAGGTGGCCGAGGACCACAATCCCCTATTGGCCTATATTGTGTTGACTCGCAGCCTACAGTCTTCCGCAATCAGTTTGCTGCAGATTATTTCTTCCTTCCCACCATGGTTCGAAGCTCATCTCGAGCATTTCCATAAATGGAAAATGTTTCATTCATAATGTAGTTTCTTATTCCAATTCTTCCAAAATAAAAGATGCTTCATTTAAATGCACATCAAATTGATATAAATCCAATTTTTTTTTAGTACTTATCTATCTATAATAACAAACTGAAAAAATATCAAATGCACTTTGAAAAATTGTGTCTTTTCAAAATTTATGATGTGTCTTTTCATTACAAATAGTTGCATCTTTTCACTATGAATGGTTGCGTTTTTTCATCAACTATAATTTGTGTCTGTTACCAAATGCACTTTGAAAAATTGTGTCTTTTCAAAATTTATGATGTGTCTTTTCATTACAAATAGTTGCATCTTTTCACTATGAATGATTGCGTTTTTTCATCAACTATAATTTGTATCTGTTCAAAAACTATTTATACTGTTCAAAACTACATAAAAAATCATTTGGATTTAACTTTTATTTTCTTACTATAGTGAGTTTTTTTGTCGTAAACTTATTTATTTATCATAACATATTATCAGGATACAAAGTGTTTAAAAGTCCTGGAAGTTTAGATATTCAATTGAGTAAAAGATTCTATTTGGGGGTCCAAATTTAGCTAAATATGAGCAGTTTCATTACAAGATTGTTTTACATGCATTACATCAGAAAAATAAAATTTATTCAACCAAAATCTAATGATATTTTTATTATAAAGAAATTATATATGTTTTGTTTACTAACATATATACTATGTTATTTATTTTTTTTGTTAACAATCTGAATAAATGCATTTACATTTTAAAAAGTTGTGTCGTTTCAAAATTTGTGGTTGCGTCTTTTCATTATAAATGGTTGCATCTTTTCATTATAAATGGTTGCGTTTTTTCATCACAACTGTTATTTGTGTCTTTTCAAAACTATTTATATTGCTCAAAACCACAGAATAAAAATCATTTGGGTTTAACTTTTACTTTTTTTTTACTATGATGGGTTTTTTTGTCGCAAACAATCTGAATAAATGCAACTTACACTTAAAAAGTTGTGTCGTTTCAAAATTTGTGGTTGTGTCTTTTCATTATAAATGATTGCATTTTTTCATGATAAATAGTTGCGTTTTTTATCACAACTGTAATTTGTATTTTTTTAAATTATTTATTGCTCATAAAAAATATTTGGATCTAACTTTTACTTTCTTACTATAATGGGTTTTTTGTCGTAAACTTATTTATTTATCATAACATATTATCAGGATACAAAGTGTTTAAAATTCATAGAGGTTCAGATATTGAATTTGAGTAAAAAAATCTATTTGGGGGTCTAATTTTAACTAAAATATGATAAGTTTCATTACAAGAATGTTTTACATGCATTACATCAGAAAAATAATTTAACCAAAATCTAATGATATTTTTATTATAAATAAATTATATATGTTTTGTTTACTAATATATATTATGTTATTTATTTTTTTTGTTAACACTTTAAAAAGTTGTGTCGTTTCAAAATTTGTGGTTGCGTCTTTTCATTATAAATGGTTGCATCTTTTCATTATAAATGGTTGCATTTTTTCATCAACGCTTATTTGTATCTTTTTAAAACTATTTATATTGCTCAAAACCACACAAAAAAATCATTTGAGTCTAACTTTTACTTTCTTACTATGGTGGATTTTTTTTGTCGTAAACATATTTATTTATCATAACATGTTATCATGATACAAAGTGTTTAAAATTTCTGAAGGTTCAGATATTGAATCATAGTAAAAGATTCCATTTGGGGGTTTAGTTTTGGCTAAAATATGAGCAGTTTCATTACAAAATTGTTTTATATGCATTACATCAGAAAAATAAAATTTATTCAACCAAAATCTAATGATATTTTTATTATAAAGAAATTATGTATATTTTTTTTACAAATATATATTATGTTATTTTTTTTATGAAACACATCTATATATTTATAGTTAATTGTGTTATTTTCAAATTTTAATATTCTATGTTAGTTGTTTATAAATTTAATGTACCTGATATTTGGATTCTTTTTCTAATTTCAGAGAAATATATTTATGTAATGTAAAAAATTCTCATATATTTTTATATAAGTATTTTTATGGTATCAAAGTTTTTTTAATATATTTTAACTATTATATCTGTAATATACTTTTTAATATTGCGAATCTTTTTTAGAAACTATAGTAGTCTTAGAAAATGTATTATAAAATCTCGTTACATTATTTTTTATTATATATATTTTCTGTAGTATTTTTTAATATATCAAATTTTTACCATAATTCTTTGTTTCTAACTTGTCAATAATAAATGTATAGTTTTATAAACTTTTTTTGAAAGATTGTCTGTATATTTATTTTTTACTTTACACTTTTGCGCGAATACAATTTTTTAATAATCTACAAGTAAAAGATTTCATATTCATATCATATATTTATATTTTATATTTTCATATATAACTTTTTTAACACTCTTAAAAAGTTGTGTATCTTATTATTTTTCAGTTTTTAGTTTATTTTTTCTATTAATAATTAGTAATAACTAATAACAACTCTTAAAATTTTTTATCATAATTAGTTTGTACATTTCCATTTAGAACTTATTGTTAATAATTTAAAAAAATATGAAAATACTTTTTTTTAATAATTATAAGTTGTTTTGAATATTTATATTTTTAATATATATATTTTACTTATAATCATTTCAAAACAAATTTTGTTTAATTTTTAATAAACCACAGATTAACCCTGCAAAGCAGGGGTTCTATTCCTAGTGATTACAATAGTACTATAAAAGAATTGCAAGAATAAGTGATGGAAAGAAATAAGTTACATTTTTGCCTTCAAGATTCTCTCATTTACAGTATCTCGAAACAAAAAATGATGTCAAAACATCATTAATTATAAAACAGAGTTATGAGGAGTTAGATAACATGTGATGGTGAAATTTGAACCAAAACAACTTTCGTAGTATAGTTTAGGTAGATTAAAAAAAAATGAGTTCATTTATTTTGTGATACTATAAGATCATTTTATACTTTTATGATTAATATTTGAATTAGATTTAGAATATGTTCTTGATTTTGAACAATCTCATTCGCAATTTTGTAGTCTTAATTAATTAGGTAAGCTTTGAAACACAAAATCAACTGACATTTCGGTGTACATAATTGTAAAAGGGGGTATTTATAATATATGATATAAATAAGTAGAAATTATTATACATATGACATTATATGTTGATTGAAGTATCATGATAAAAGCAAAGATGAGCTGTATGTTTTTATATTTATTTAAAACATCAATGAGCTGTGACTAAATCATTCTCCAGAATCTTGGCGGCGCTGCTGAATTTTGGAAGAGAACTAATAAAGAAATTGTCCTAAATCCATGTCTATCTATAATCTTGTGGCATACAGTTTTGTGTATAGAGAGATTTATGCAGTGGCATCGTATTTGCATGCACATATAAAAATTATAAAATGCATTATCTGCTTTCATATATGTGGTTGTGGACGTGAGAAAATTGGTAATAATCAGCATGACATGTGACAGTCTGTTCTTGTGTCTGTCCCGAAAGAACTTTTTCCTTTTCTTAGTGTCTCCCGACCCAAATTTAGTTATTGTTTTGTCGAACAGTGTAAGTATTGCGTTATTGATCGATCCTATGAGCAGTTTACATGAGCTGGTTTTATCCGGATGATAATTTTGGATTATCGACTTATCGTTATAAGAGATTTTGGACCTTAGAACCACGTGAACCACGTACGACACTAGCTACTTGCTTGTATAATTAAATGGGATATCGAATTGGGTCAGGTTCGTGTTGGAGAAGGCAATGTCGGGTGAGCTATTATGTATTGTTACTGAGCTTCATAGTTTCTGCTTTAATTTGATAAGAAAGTTTATCTTATGATTGCTTTATAAAAAGCTTTACAAAAAATTGTGGATCTTGAGCCTTTTGTTTAAAACACCTGTGGATCTTCTTTCACTTCAAAGAGAAAGCAAAAAAATTGTCAACCTAAAAGCGTTTGAGCCGAAGCTCTGAATGATATATCATTGATTCTTAGATTTTGCATATCATAATCCTAAATGATAGTAACTTCGCTTTTCTCAATCAATTTTACAAAAAAAATCGAATGATTTTTCAGTAACGATTTATGTTTTGAACTACAGAAACTATATATGTGTGTGACTTTTTCCTATACCAATATAAAACTTGAAATTATTATCTTCTGAACCATGTTTTGTATTAATGAATCGTGCTTATATTCTCCTCACTTTATTGGACCAAAAAAGCGTATAATCATAATGGGCCTTGGTCAATAATATACTCGAGGCCTTTTATACTTTTTTCCCGCACAAAAGTCAGCCTTTTCTCTCTTCCCGCCAACTAGTTTCCCGCCAAACACCCCACACAAGATAAGCCACTTGGAAACTTCCCGCGAAAATATTAAACAAACTTTACTCTCTTCCTCCCTCTCTCTCTCTCTCTCTCTCCCTCCTTGAGTCGACGAAGAAGGGTTTAAGCTATGCCGGGATCAAATCAGATATCTCGAAAGAGAATGCGATTCTCGTCTTCTTCAGCTACTGAGATCCTCACGAGAAGCAAATCCCAGTATCAGAGAGACCGCTCTGGCCGAATCGCACCCACCGTATCTCACACCGGAAACGGATTCCGTCTCAATCATTCGTCATCTCTCAGCGGGAAAATCGATTCAAAGATCGTTCGCACGTATCCTCGAGTCACCATCAAGGATCTGCGTCTGAGACGCGTCTTCTCACCGAGCTCGATCTCCAGCGACTGGGAATGCAAAACCAAAGGGGAAATCAAAACCAAGCAGCAAATTGGAGAATGTCCTTGCGACCCTCGCGATTCCAACAGTAAGTTTCTCGATCTAAAGGCAAAAACAGTATATATATATATTGTATGAATCTGGGTCTTGAGAAATGTCTCTAGAGAGGATGTAAGAGCAAAATGGATCAATAAAGAACTTTTGAGAATTTATATGGTCCGATGATGTTTTTTTTGTTGCTGGTGAAACAGTCGTGGAAGAAGGAACCAAAGTCGATGCAGAAGCAGAAGATTTCTTACGAACGACGCCACCTGATCTTGTCTCGGCCGTAAATGAAGCAGAGCGGATCTGTGAAGAGATCAATGAACCAGCGGTGAAGAAGAATGTCACTAATCTCTCGGTATGCATCCTTATGGCTTTGTTTAATGATAACATTTAAAAGTTCTCTATTTTTTTTTGTTGGTTGCTTGAAATTTTGCTTCTTTGTTGCTATGTACTCCTTACAGGTTCTTCATCCATGTTCACGAGCTAAGATATTCAAGAACCCTGGCTCCTTCAGCTACAAGAGACTGCTTCCTTACTTGATGCAAGCTGCAGATGGTATTTCTTTTGGTTCCTTTTTTGCTTCTTTCCTGATTAAGAAAGATTTAATGTGATTGAACTGAGGTTAACCTGAGGAAGTGATAAGCCAATTTGTCTTTCGCAGATAGAACATCTTCAGGCCGGTGTTTGAAACCTGAAAAACCTTTGCTCCAGAATCCTCCGAATGTAGATTTGCCTTGTAACAAAGAGACTGTGGAAACTAAGAAGGATCCAAAAGAGGAAATAGGTGAACTGATGACCACCAAACCTGTTTCGCAATCCGTGGACAGAGTATTCGATATCCGTTCAGGAGGAAGCTCATGTGGAAACACCATTCCTTTGAATAAGGTTATTGCGTCCAGCCCCAACAAGAAATCTGTAAGCTTCCTTCTTGTAGCTCACTTCAAGGATTGTTTTATGTTTGGCCATATAATGTTTCGGTTTTCCATTTTCTTTCCGTTTGTCTAACATGAGATTCTTTTTTGTTGACATGACACAGGCATGCTCAAGGCGCAAGTTATTTAAAACACCAGGCTCAGTTAACTACAGAAGGATGCTTCCATATCTTAGAGATGTTCAAGAAAATAGTCCTTGTAAGCCTATTTCTAAGTCCAATACAACTCTTTTACTTGTTTATATCCAGAGATGAGATATTGACAAAAAACATTACAGAATGAGATAGTGATGGTACTTTGTCTTTGCTGGGTTTTTTTTTTCAGGTGTTTCCGAAACAGTTTATCATCCATATCATAAAAAGAAGACAGAGGAGAACGCTCCATCGCCGATGTTAGTCTTTGACAATGATGGGGCAGAGGAAATAGTGACATCAAATGTTGCTACAGAGTCAAATACATGCTCTAACGAAAACGAAGAGCCATTTCCTTGTGAACCTGTTTCTGTATCCCCAGAACAACCTGATCCTGAGAAGGAACAAGAGACACAAGTAAAGCATGTCATCCCGGACACTGAAAAGAGCTTGGGAACTCCTTGCGATGTTTTGGTCTCCGAGGTCCTATTATCACCTCCTCTTGTTGGCTCAGTAACTTCAAGTGAGGTTGCTTCATCTGCATTGAACAACATGTTTGTCGGAAATTTGGCGGGTGAAAAAATTATGAATGGTTCAGAGGAAGCTAAAGACAGTGCAGAGCAACCAGAGGCAAATAGTTCGAATCTAACAGCTGAGATACTTGATCCTTGTGTTGTAATGGGAACTCCTACCTCAGTCTCTCCATCGAAAGGGATTCTCAAAAGGAGTATAAGAGGATGTAGAGGGATATGCTCTTGCTTGAACTGCTCTTCCTTCCGTCTAAACGCAGAAAGAGCATTCGAGTTCTCAAGGAATCAGTTACAAGATACTGAAGTAATGGTTTTGGATCTCGTTGGAGAAATATCTCGTCTCAGAGATATGTTGGAGACATATGGTTCAGCAGATCACAACGAAAGTCAGGTATGTACATAACAAACTTCATAACACTATTCTTTAGCATGCATACACAAGTTGCAAGACTTAGCAGCCAAACTTAAAGTGTTTTATGCAACTGAATCTGAATGATGTTCTTTTAAAAACAGGCTGGAGAAGCTTCAAAGAGAGCTTCTGAGGCTGCAGAGCTAGCAAAAAGCCGTCTCCACCAGATGAACGATGAACTTCAAGTTCACTGCAGAATCCCCGTGAGTTATCCATAATCAATTATCTTTTTGAAAAGTCATTCTGCTTTATGTTTTTAAAAGCAGAGTCTAGTTGAAGCTATATTGGAACACATGATTCTCACTCTCCATGTTTTATCTCCAGAACGAACAACGAGCAAGAGTGAAGTTCGCTCACTACGTCCACGAGAAGACAATCCTAAAAGCAACCGAACCTAACAAATTGATCCTTTAGATCATCTTCACCCTCAAGCAAGTAGGATCACTTTTTATAAAATGTCACATGTCTAAAATATATTATCCAGTTTCATGTTTTTTAATTTTGAAAAGTGAAAGGTATTAGCTGTCTCTTTCATTTGTACCTCTTAACACAAAAAAAGAGAAACTATAGATCATAGATCAAATTGCCGTTTATACATATAGTCCATGTGATCATATTTATTATCTGATTTTTCTTGAAAAATCACCTCTTACTTCAATGTACATACGCAAGAGTACTATAAAAAAAAGAAGTAAATTTCTTGTGATCTCTTATCAAGTTGCAGATAAAAACAACATTGGGTGTTAGTGTGTTACTTAATCCACATCTTTGCTTGTGATCTTTGGATTCTTATATATTTGTACAAGTGTTCATACTTAAGATTACTGTTTGTTTTGGCGTCTACCAAGAATTTTGAATATTATTGTTTAATCTGTTTAGTACATTGTCCCTGAGAGTTCCGTGACACATTTATTGACTCGTAGAATGTATATGCATTGGAATAAGCAAGCAATTCTAATGAATAAACCAATTTATTAAAATAAAAAGAGAATTTGCACTAAACAACAAAGAGATAGAGAGAAACAAGAATCATTTTTGGGGTTTTTAGACTCTAGACCTCCTACACTCTGGTGGGAATCCTTGAGGAAACCTTTTAAGATCAGAACAATAATTATAAATCATAAAATACTTTTGAACCCATCTCAATCTTCTTCTCCCATAAGCATTAAGCTCATTAGCCACCTGAGACTCACCATTAGTGAAGGAGCTCTTGAACTTAGGATCACAGAAAGATGACCCTGAAGACACTGTACAAGCCGCAGCGTTAAAGCCTCTGTAGTAAGCTGTGAAAGGAGCCTTGGACCAATCAGTCTTAACCAAACCACCTCTCGTGGCCCAATCATCAGCATTCCATAAGCTCGAGTAAATCCTCATTGGTTGTTTCTTGGGAAACGGAACACCAAGCTGCTCTGCGTTGTTGAATACTCTGATTGGAACATTATCCACCATGAATCTGCAAACAAACACAAATGTTAGAGACGAGAAAGACCCATAAAAAAAAGTTTTGGTTTTTAGATGTTTTTGAAGTCTAAAATTACATGATGTGTTGAGGTCTCCAGACAAGAGAGTAAGTGTGGAAGTTCTTGGTTGGGTCGAACCAGAGATAAAACTGTTGTTCTCTGTTTCCTTTGCCTTGCGCAAAGACATTGGTGTGAAGAACATAAGGCTTCCCTGTCTCGTTACCAAGAAACTCAAAATCTATCTCGTCGTGTGTTGGTCCTTCAGAAGATAACTGCAACATTTTGTCATTAGTTTTTTTGTTAAAGAAAACCCAAAAAACAAACAAATAAAAGGAGTCTTTTAGAGTGTGTTAAAGCTTACGTAGTAGGCAGTGACGGTTCCGGCAGAGTTACCGGCGACGAGCTTAAGCTGCATATCGATTCTTCCGAATAAATATTCTTTCTTGGATTTAAAACCCGACCCGGAAACCCGGTCTAGTGAAAGTGAGAGCATTTTCCCTCCACTGAAGATTTTGCCTCTGTGGTCACCCCAAGTCAAGTCGAACTCGTCGTTGAAGTTACCGGAGTAAGCATTTCCGAGCATTGTTAGAACCAGAACGGTCACCAACATGGTGAGGCTCAAGATTCGACTCATTTTGGGGTCTTGATTGTAGAAATGAAAGCTAAGGGGCTTATTTTAGTAATTCTGAAGAGAAAGGGATTTTTTTTGTATGTTTTGTTTGTTCGAGGAGTTTTGTGATATGAGATGGGTTTTCAAAGGGGATAGGGTATTTATAGAGGTGAAGCAGTACTAGTCTTGGGAAGCCAACTACAGTTGTTTTTTCAAAATTTATTTTCTTTTTTTCTGATTTAAAGCATTAATTTCTTCTATTGTTGATTTTACATAAATTTGTATATTACGGATTTACAAACTATAATCCTTAGACCACAATTTAAAAAAGAATAAAACACAAATTGTCTATTAAGTTCAATGAGATTTGACATTAATAAATCTCAAAATTGTTGACATTAATAGATCTCAAAATAAAGCACAACTTCAATAATATGTAGTAGAGTAATTAGCAAAAATGGCGATACTATTATTAAAAGTTTTTTTTTTTGTTAAAGACTATTATTAAAAGTTTGAAAATAACAGTAACGTGACAACAAACAATTTCTAGAAATTTTTATAGTTTAGTTAACTGTTATTGCTATAGAGAGACAAGGTATCTTGTGTGAGCTAGGTGTGTTGTAAAACATATAATTAATGTGAACTGAATACAGAGATTATTATTTCCAAATACATTTTTTAAAAAACTCAACAAATACATTTCATCTACATATGAATGTTAATATTCAAAATTTGAAAACAATAAAAGAGAAATTGAAGAACAAAATGAAAGCTGTCGAAAAGAAAGAAACAAAAGAAAGAAAGAGAAGAGTGCGGGACAGAGGAGAGTGATCTATCAGTGAATAGCTGTTGCCAGCTCTGTTTCTTCTCCCATCAAACCTGGAGCCACCTTTATTTTTTATCTTTTTGTTGCTTTTTCTTCTTTCTTCAGATTTAAATAAAGTTCATATTTCTATTAATATACAAAACTTTTTAACTTTAGATTTCATTAATCTGCCACAAGAAGGATTATGCTTTTATGTTTTGTATGGTACTACAAGTTAAACTAACATAATGTAATTTATACCAGCAAACCAACAAGACATGAAATTTTTAGGCACGGTTCTTTACAAATTGGATATTGTGAATGTCTACAATGGTAATAGTTGAACTAAGAAATTCTATATATTTTTTTTCGTATATGAAGCTTTAGCTGAACAAAATACTAAACTTAATTAAGGTGAACCTTTTATCCGGTTAAGTACACGTGAGATGGTTTCGAATTGCATGGTTATATACCTTTGTAACTTTGTTACGCTGAGAATCGATTGAGTTTATTATTAGTAATCTCTAGCAACGTAATTGTTGGATTCATAATAGCTTAGTTAGTACTTAGTACTAGGTACCATATAATGATAGAATTACTAATTAGTAAGATGATGTGTTCACGTTTTCAAAACCTTTCGGTTTCAAACTTTGGATCCATCATACCTTATATATATATATATATATATTTACCATAAAAGCTGATTTGATTTTTTGGACATGTAATACCATTTCATAGAAGATAAAACTCCATTGTTTAATTCCTTTTTTTTTTGGTCCAATACAAAATATGAATGCACTTGTGAGTTGTGACCTCTCAAACCTGCTCCATGTCACGTGTGTCTCTCCGTTAATACTCACCTCTTTATTGAATAGTACGTTTTTATATCCCAAGATTCGAATTCTAAACGCATCTCTTCCAAACACGAGACGCTAAGAAATTTTGAATCGATATTAGCGTTCGGGTTCAGAGACGTGAAAGACTTAAAATGCTTCTATACGTAAAACGGATATGAAAATTTATGTTTTCTATCTGGTTCGTACGTAGACGATAGATCGAGTCGAGGAGACGTAATTAATAGGTTTAGAGAGACTTATGTAACAAGCTATTAGACCTACTTAGTTATTTACTCTGATCTACTTTCTAATCTAAGCGTATATATAATTTTATAAAAAGTCGTTTTGTAGATATTAAAGTCGCTACTAGTACTGTAATATGTAATCATTTTATAACATAGAAAACTGCATTATTTCGGTACTTTATGAATCTTCAGATTGAGTTCTAGTTCGTTGGCAACTTAAAAAACAATGATGTCAATATATAGATCAAAGTTTAACAAATATGATTCAGAAACATAGGAAACAATAGATAATTAGATGGAGAAATAAACAAGTTCTTATTGGTTTTGCTATGTGGGTGGATGACAGTGCTTAATCATCATTCTTATAATCTGTCGAAAATATTTAGTATAATATACAAACGAGATGCACACCTGTTATATGCTAATCCATCGAAAGAAGATTACAAACTCTTCATTTTTAAGCCATTTTTTAAAAAGAATATACTCAATATTTTCACTAACTAATCCTATTTAAAAAAAATTAACTACAAGTGGTGATGCAATCATGCAACTAGATTTATCATAATTTTTTTTAATCTCATTCATTACCCATTATTAATTGGCATTTGCATTCTTTTGTGTGCACATGATAAAAATAATACTAACACTGATAGATTTGTCAGAAAGTATACACGAATTAATATTATGTATTGCTCCACACTAAAATTCCTTTTTCTGTGCACATGATGAAATAAACCACTGAAAAAGTAAAAAAAAAATACTTGTCAGAGAAACACAAGTTAGAATCTAACAATAATTAAATTAGGATTGTTTAAGGCATCGATCGATCGTCAGTTATTGTGTAATCCATCTCTTAGTCGTTTAGGGAAATCTGACTCAAGAAAGAAACTTACGGAAATATAACTCAGGGGTTTCATTGAATCAAGAGTGTGAAGTTAATTTAATAAGACAAATGAAAAATTAACCTTTAATTTCATTGAATAAATACTTCTTAGTCATATATTGTTGCATGGAGAGAAATTATGAGTAGAACAAGGTATATATACATAGTATTATTATAGATAAGCAAAATAAAATAGATAATATGAACGAAAATTATTAAGAGGTATCCAGTACAGTGGATTATAATAAAATGAAACAAAATTTTGATATCTATGTTAAAACGATTTTGATACTTCAAAAAAATCTGACACGAAGCAGTACATAAACACGTGAAATTGAAAACATGGTTTTGCAGATTTGCAGATTATAAATCCGACATTAATTAGTCAATATATATCTTGGTTTTCTCTTTTTTAATATTATTTACTAATTTGTGTACACATTTAAAAGTTATATGCATGCAGGCCTTATCTGCTCTAGCTAGTTAACTGCGATATATCTAGCGAAATTGAAGATACAAGTTCGATAATTGTAAATTTGACAAAAAGATAAAGTTGTAACTTGTGAGAAATGTTTAACATAAAGATTTTAGTCCGTTGGTTCTTGCAAGCTTCTGAGAAATTTTAATTTGATGCCAAAACCAAAAAATAACTTTATTGATTATCAACCATACTTTTTAAACACGAAACTGTTTAGATAATGTAATAGTATTCTTATATCCGTAAATATAATTTGTTATTCAGTCGTGTGAAAATTATTCATATCATTACAAAATAGTCACGGAATTTTAATGGCTATCTAGAAAAATAAGCGAAGAAACCATCAAAACCTTAAACAAATAATTAATTATTTAGTAAATGCCGTGATATGTAAACTCTATAAAGAATTAAATATTCGATATTTTTTTATAAAAAAAAAACTCCGATCTATGTATTCATATAAATACCATGTACCTATTGAAAGTTGAAACCAATGCATGGAGTTATACGTTAATTTTAATGTTTGGCTTTGCTCCAAAAATATTAAATAGGGAATGGTTATGGTGAGTTGTGGTCCAAGTATTTTGAAAAATATTTATAATTTTTTGTTTGACTAAAATGGATTATGGGGCAAGGCGAGAAATGTCACGAGTTCAATGCAACTCTTTTAAAACTTAGGGGGATACATGCAGGTTCATGGAATTTGGAATCGACACATCATCATTGGTCTTCATTTGTCATGATATCAAATTATGCTACTCGTCGCACACCAAAATAGTATACACGTTAAGAAACAGAAGGAGTATATTTTAGCACAAAAAAAAGAAAAGAGAGTAAAGAAACAATTTTACCACAAAATAGGTCAGTCAGTATCAACAAGTCAACAACTAAGCACAAACTGCAATATTTTTGAAATTTGTTTTATTTCATGAGTATAACAAAGCTGATTTTTATGTATTTGAAAAATATCTTCAATTGTTTTTTTTACTCCACGAACTTCTGCCCTATAGTGTGTGATCAATAGTGGTGCTCTACCTCTTATCCTCAAGTTCCTCACTGAAAACTACAAGGAAGAAGAAGCTGCATTGGCAGGTTAGGAAGCTCTTACTGTTGTGCTTCCAGACTTCTCTGATCTCTAGTCATTAATCTGTGTGATTTCAAAATGTTGCTGGCAGTAATTGATGCTAATTTGATTCCCGTCTTGGTTAGCTTGTCACAAAATGCTGATCTTGACTTGAAAGAAGAAGCTTCATTGGCAATTGCAAATAGCAAATGTAACTAAGTATGCTCGTCATGATCAAATGAGGTATAGTGTCAGTGCTTTTTTTTGTCTTCCTTCTCTCTTATATATACTTTGGGTTTATGTATATCATGAATGTTCTGTTCCCGTTGGTTATACAGATACCTTGTGGAACAAGGATGCATAAAACCATTATGCGATCTCCTGGTTTCCACGGATCCAATAACCCTATCAATTGGCCTTCATGCATTGGATTACATTTTGGACGTTGGAGGCATCCATTACGCTGCGCTACTTGATAAATTAAAGCAGAAGGGAAAGAAAAGATCAAGAAGTTAGAGAGCCATGAGGCCCATGACAACAGTGCGATATCTGGCACTGCCGTTTTGATTCGTCGTTCTCAGGCTTCGGTCACATCCGGGATTCAAACAAAGTAAATGTGGTCGAAATTTAAGAAAGGGACATGGGAAATTTACTGGTAGCAAGTAATTAATTGGCTTTAACTTCATAGCAATAAAAATCAAATTAAGCACTGACATCATAAATAAGATAAGATCAAACATTTGAAATTACAACGGTTAACATTGGTAAACTATAAGGCTTTAAAGCTGGTCATTTTTGACATCTAAAGACCGGTCTATTTGTTGGACCAGCTTATAATACTTTTTTGATGCCCAGCTTAAAAGCCTTATAATTTACAAATCAGCTTGGACCAGGTCATTTTTGAGTAATTTTTTTAAGGCTTTTCTTTTTTTTGGTAAACTCCATGTTAAATTAATTCTCTGAAGTTAACCGCAGGTGAGACTGAATCAAGATGAATTTGTGACTGGATTGAGTGGAGCACAAGCAAAGTGTGGAGGAATCAGAAATTTGACATTTCACACTAACCGTGGGAAGCACGGACCGATTGGGCACGATGATACGGTTGCATGTCTTGCCAATACAGAAATTAATCCGGCAATACGTGATGGACGTGAGTTTGGTGGTTTCTTTGGGTCTTACCGTACAGAATGTGTGTCATCGATTGGTATCTACGTACGTACGTGAGTTCCCACTCCAAGTTTCCACAGGGTGGTTAAGTGTGAAAACAAGTGACCAAGCGACGACTTGCAGCATAGCACAGTTAAACAGTAGTGTCTGGTTCAGTTTGTTGTTTGAGTTTTCTCTGAAATGAAGTAGCTCTAGTGGAGTTATAATGTCTCTGTCAAGTAATAAAAATGTCCCGTTTCTTTTTCTTTTATCTTTTGTTTTTGTCAATTGGTGTACCCTATGTCTTTGTTTCAGCATGCAATGTTTAAAAGTTTTCGTAAGTCATTTTCATCTCTATTCTTTTCTTGTCTTAAAACCAACTCTACTTAATTAGTATGTTGTATTTTAAGGAAATCACGAATGTGAGAGGAAATAGATCAATAGTACTCATCAAAGGGGAAAAGATATATTATGACTCTTTTAATTTTATATAAGATCTTATTTTCCAGCGCCATTAGTATAAATTCTGCACACAGGAACCTGCGCATTCACCTCTACACAAAAAAACAAATATGTATCAAACTTTCCACATGACACCAACTTGTTCATAGACTTTGCCTTTTTGCATCAAAAACTATTATTAGCTGGTCTAACAAGTTATTTCACGGCATAAGCCAAATTGCATTATTTACCTATATTTCACGGTTTTAGAAAAGCATCTTCAAACATTCCAAAAACTAAAAAAACACAAATACTAGATGAAAGATCACATTAAGACATCTAGATCTAACCAAGGGAGAGATGTAAACTTACTTAGCTCGACTCGCTCTCGTTGGCCTTGTGGATTTTCTTGTATTAGTACATGTTTATGTCCACTTTCTGTTGTATATAGAGTGCAGAAAACAAAACCACAAAAGTATCTTGTGAGGTTTTATCAGAGCCTCTATGCGACTAAATTCAATCTATACTCCCCCAGTATTCATCAAGAATTTAGTAGCTTTAGGGTTATAAGAAGAAGCTCATATGCAATAATTCTATAATCTTTATACCAAATTTTACATTAATATAAACAATTTTGAAGGAACTTGTAAAAATTCTGGAATTGAGCAAACCCCAAACACCGAAAATCTAAAATCCGAAAACGTCAAAGAAAATCGAGGAACAGGTCGTGATAAATCTACTAAATCCCTCGCTGCAAAATATACCGGCGATGGCGTGCGTTGACCGGCGACAGCAGAGATTTTGATTTTTAAGTGTTGAGTAGTATAGTTTGCTAATCAGAGAAATGAAATGTAAAGTTTTGACTTTTTAGTGAACCAGGCCATACTAAACCGAACGAAAAACCCGAAATTCCGGTTCAGGTTGGTCCAGTACAATAGTTTGTTTAGGTCTAAACGCAAAACATGAGTTGCTTGACAAATCTATTAACTATTCCCTCTGTTTTTTAATACATGACGTTTTAGATATTGTACATATATTAAGACAAATTTTAGATATTAAGACATGAGTATAAATCATGACGTTTTAGATATTAAGACATGAGTATAAATCATGGTCACATGATTAAGGGTAAGGCACGTTCAATGGAAACGTTTTGTTCATTTTTCTTGGCGAAAAGGTTCCACACGAGCTCTCGTTCTGCGGCGTATTGACAGGACCAATAGGCGCCTGTTGGATAACATTGTAAAACCAGTTTGGTCAAACGAAGAGTCGTTCTTAAGCACAATTCTCAAGGTTTTCTTCAATGTACTTGGAAATTCGTCTAACTTGCTCCCAGTGACCCCCATAAATAAAAGTTATGACGACTCTTCGGATTTTGGTCAAACCAAGAGTTTTCTTATCAACAATTTTCAAGGGTTCTCTTCAACGTACTCGGAAACTTGCTCCCAATAAATTCCATAAATAAAAGTTCTGATGACTCTTTGTGTTTCGGACAAGACAGAGTATCTTATATAATCGTCCTTTGTCTATGTTTTTTCCTGCCCTTCTTTAACTACTCTAGTCTGTAGTTGCTTCTTATATAGAGATGATACGGGCAGGTACAAATGGCAGTACACCTTCTTGTATCAACTTTGATAACGACGATGAATATATTGAATTGGATTGGTCTTTGCCACGAGGTTACACTAGTTGGAACCAGGAGGGACGCACCATGATCTCTCATATCTACGTTTCATTCAACAACTCGTTCATAACTTCTATTCAGTTTCGTTACTTGGAGAATGGAGCTCTAGTCCTGTCTGAAAAGTTTGGTCCCTCTGAGGGACACAGCCTTCGTACTGTAAGTTTTGTGTCGGCAATATCTTTTGTTAACTTCATGTTAAATTAACTTTCTGATAAAGTTAACCGCAGGTGAGACTAAATGAAGATGAATTTGTGACTGGATTGAGTGGAGCACAAGGAAGATGTGGAGGAATCAGGAATCTGACATTTCACACTAACCGTAGGAAGGACGGACCGATTGGGCACGATGGTATGGATGCGAGTTTAACCAAGATAGAAATTGATCCGGCAATAAGTGATCGACGTGAGTTTGGTGGTTTCTTCGGGTCTTACCGTACAGAATGTTTGTCCGGGATTGGTATCTACGTGAATCCCATTACAAGTTCCGACAGGGTGGAAAAGCGTGAAAACATGTGACCACGCAAAGCAACACCTTGTAGCACTAGCAGCGTTAAACAGTGGTCTGGTTTAGTTTATTGTGTGAGTTTTCTCTGAAATTAATTTGTTTTAGTGGAGTTATAATGTCTTTTGTCTTTCTATTTTTATCTGCCAAGTAATAAAAATGTCACGTTTCTTTTTATTATATGTTTTTTTTGGGGTCAATTTTGTGTGTACCATATGGCATATTTAAATCATACTTAAATCAATTTCGTATCTCGCGGACATTGAACTCGTATTTCAACTGTGGTGCGAATATCCTAGCTGACCGGTAGATCCTGGAACGTTCGGAGCTAGATCTTCTCCTTTGAGAGCGACCGGTAGATCCTGGAACGTTCGGAGCTAGATCTTCTCCTTTGAGAGCGACCGGTAGATCCTGGAACGTTCGGAGCTAGATCTTCTCCTTTTAGTACGTGTTAGATAAACTGAGTTTCAAGTAATTCCTTCATGTATTTTTTCTAGAATTCGAATGTTTGTTCATAGAAAAATCATTAGCGAAGAAATGTACCAGTAATGTTTTGGTATTATATGAACATTTACAAGCTGTAAACAAAACAGAGTGAGAAATTTCTGCTACACATACCGATTCAAAGTTACAAGGAATAAATCAAGATTAATGCTTGTATGGCAATTCCAAGCATCGCAGCAGGCAACAGTGAACAGCTCAAGGAAGGAAGCTCCTACTGTTGTGCTTCCAGACTTCTCTGACCTTTAGTCATTAATCTGTATGATTTCAAAACGTTGCAGGAAATGGATGCTAATTTGTTTCCGCGCTTGTTTAGTCTGTCACAAAATGCTGATCTTGACATGAAAGAAGAAGCTGCTAATTATGCTCGTTGTGATCATATCAGGTATAATGTCAGTGTTTTTTTTTCTCTCTTCTTTCTTATATATACTTTGGGTTTATCATTTATGTATATCAAATGTTCTGTTCCCGTTGATTATACAGATTCCTTGTGGAACAAGGATGCATAAAACCATTATGCGATCTCCTGGTTTCCACGGATCCAATAACCCTATCGATTTGCCTTGATGCATTGGATTACATTTTGAACGTTGGAGGCATCCGTTACGCTGCGCTAATTGATAAAGCAGAAGGGAAATTAAGAAAAGATCAAGTTGGAGAGCCATGACAACAGTGCGATCTCTGGCACTGCCGTTTTGATTCGGCAAAGATGCTTGTTCTCAGGCAGCGTTGCCGTTTGGAGGGAACCAAGTTTCAATTCATGTTGGTGTTTCTTTTGTTGCTCATCACTCTTAATGCCGTTTTACTCTGTCGCAGCTGCTGCCGCCGCAGTGGTAGACAAAAGAACAGGGATAGTGAAAAATAAGGATTATTTTGGTAATAATAATATATGTATCGAATATACACACTTTGTTTTTTATTGCTTTATAAAACCCCCCAAGACTGAAAAGCATTGAAGAGCTAAAACTGAAATCATTTTCCACTCTCGATTTCCAAATTGGCTCTTGTTCAACCGCCGATCCTTTAGACAACGTACTTGAAACTTGTCCCACTTGCTCCCAATGACCTGCATAAAAGTTATGACGAACTCTTTCGAGTTTGAGCCAAACGAAGAGTTTTCTTATGCATAATTTTCAGGGGTGCGCTTCAATGTACTTGGAAACTTGCTCCCAATGAATTCCATATATAGAAATTCTGATAATTCATTGAGTTTCGGACAAGACAAAGTATCTTACATAATCCTCCTTTGTCTATCTGTCTCTCTATCCTTCAAAATCTACTGTATTCTGTCGCTGCTTCTTATATAGAGATGATACGGGCAGGTACAGTTGGAAGAAGACCCACACGTTCCCGCAGAATAGTACGCGATGGAATTATTGACTGCGATATTCCATGTGACACTGAATGGGACGAAAAGGGACGCATCATGATCTCTCACATCTACGTTTCTTTCAACAACTATTTCATAACATCTATTCAGTTTTGTTACTTGGAGAATGGAGCTCTAGTTCTGTCTGACAAGTATGGTGGTCAACTACATATTTAACTTAAATCAGATACACTCAATAATTAGTTTCATAAGAATACTTCTTCAGTTTTGTAAGTATTAACTTATGTATATATCTAGACTTGCTTGTTTTATTTGTACGGGCGTACGTAATGCTATTTTCACAAGCACAAATTATCCTTTTATTTTATCAAATTCCTTTTTCTTTTCAAATATATTCATATACATTCCGTCCTTTTAATGATCTAAATAAATTACATGAATTATTGTTTAAGAAATCAAACAAAAAATTAATATGAAATGTTCAAATCCCCTATATATTAATTGAGAAGCATTTTTAAAAAGTAACCTCATATTTGTAAGTATTTACAGTAGTGCCATTATGCTGATGTGTCAACCTCACGTTCATTTTTAGCTAATTATTTTAAAAAAACTTAAATTACTAGACTAATTATATGATATATTATTATATATTTTAGGTCCATACATATGTCATGTTTTATTTTATAAATCAGCTTTTAATTTATTAAGTTATTTTCTTCATTTTATTTCTTACCAAAAATATATCATCTTAATTATTTCTTTAATAATATTTTCTACCAAAAATTTAATTTTCTCTTATTTTCATTTCAACTTACTTATGTAAAGTAAATAAATTATCACATCATCCATATAATAAAAAAATATATAGATTTTTTTGTACATGTATTAAATTTGAATTTTAAAAATTAAATATAAATTGCTCAAATTATTAATAAATAAACATAAATTATTATAATTTGAGTTCATTATAGTCATTATAAAAGTTGATTGTAATTTGAGTTCATTATAGTCATTATAAATAAAAGTAAATAATTATAATTCGATTTAATTGATTTTTTCAAAAGTAAATTCTCAATTAGCTCATAATTTAGACTCTTTCTAAAATTTAGTATAAAATAAATAATATTTAATATTTAATATAATATAATTATGAGCCAATTGAGAATTAATTAATGATTTTAATGAAAATGAATTTTATTTTGTTTGATATATGTTAATAATATAAGTAATTTAATTTATGGTACATTCACTAATCTAATTTAGATATAATTAATATATTAATTCAAATTTATTTTGTTAATTTAGATATCTATATATATATATATATTTAAAGATTTCGAGTAGAAACAATAATGACACTTTTGTCTAATAAGTCATCAATGTTTAAAACTTATTTGGAGTAAAAATAATATACAATAGAAACTCTATAAATTAATAATGTTGAGACTTTGATATTTTATTAATTTATAGAATTATTAATTTATCAGTTTTGAATAAATAATTATTTATTAATAAATAATTTAAAATAATATATTTTTAAAAAATTATATATTTTTAAATTTTTTATTATAAAATTAGAGATAAATGATAAAAATATTTTAATTTTAATATACAAAACAACAATATACTTGTATTTTAATAGATTATCATATTTCTATATTTATATAAAATTATTTTATACGATATTTATTAATTTATATTAATAATGGTACTATATTTTACATAGGTTTTTCAAAAAAAATTATTATCTTATTAATTTATCGATTTGTATTAAATTTTAAACCGTCCAACTTGACACCGAGCAAAATTATTGATTTATCGAATTTATTAATTTATCGAATATTAATTATAGAGTTTCTACTATATAAGATGGATAAACATCAATATTTTTATAGAGGCTAATTCTAATAAATTTTATTTATCACATTGTTTTTTATATAATCAATCATAGCAAAAATGCATCAAAACTCTAATCATCTTACATCTTAAATTTAATATTTCATTTTATTATGTATACACTATACTCCCAACTTACTATTTATTATATATTCAATTACACTTTATTATTATATTTTAGATCATATTTTTTGATTAAAGATTTTTGGAGTCAATAATTATTCCTTTTTTTTATAAAAAGATAATTTATGGATATAATTATTGTTTTTCAAATTAGAAACATAAAATTGTGTGTTTTTTTAATTTATTTGATAAAATAGATACGTAATAGACTATTTAAATAATTATATTTAAAAGTCAAAAATAATTAAATATATACACAAATATTCTATTAAATTTAATAAATAATAATTATTTTATCTCGTATAGGATGCATGTTATTACGTGATAATCTAATATCTGATTAAAAAGGTGTATTGTCGAAATATGATAAATCTGATTTTATTAGACAAAAATCAAATACTCATCGATGCACCACGACCACGTCTTCTCTCCGACAAAAGTGCATGAAATTGTTAGAAATTGTATTTAATCTTGTTTTGTTCTCTCTTCTTCTTTCGTTTATAAAAGATGAAACAACATAACATTTTCAGATCTACAAAATGATTATTGTCTTAAAAGTAATTTTGTTGTATTCATGAAAGAGGATGGATAATGTAATCTTTTTGGTGTAAATTGCTTTTAAATTTTTTTTTTTATAGATTTTTGGTATAAATTGACAAACAAAATTAATGAAATCAAAGTTTGTGCAAAAAAGTATTTTTTTTTCAGCATTACAATAACATGAACGATCTTAATTTCATTTTCCAAATTGTGATTTCGATATTGCTTCGAATTGTTTAAACCCATATGAAAGATGTGTGTTAGACAATCGCTTTGGTTAGGCAGTTCTAATTTCTGTTGAGGTCCCTCACTATTATTGGACATGGACAATCGATGTCCATTCAAGAGTTGAATTACTGAATTCCCAATTAGCTCAAGTAATTTCCATATATGTGACTTTGTAAATGTCCAAAAGATTTGTTTAATGTGTTTCTTCTAACGCACCACATCAGTTCCTCCCATCATGTGAGTCTAGTTGGGAGGATGATGAATGAGTTTTTCATTATGCTTCATAACATTCTAGGGACTAATGTTCTGAAACATTTCAAGGACTAGCTGGAATGTTATTCTAGCTAATGGTGACTTGCGAGTGATGATTTCAATTTTCCACGATTTCTATTTGAT